AGTCACTGAGTTTGATCAGAATATTATTTCGGCACCCTATCTCACTGTTGACGTTTGGCACCAACTCTTTGACCTCTATCAATTGCACTTCGCCACCGAACTCTCGTTTTTGCATCTCCCAACTCTCAAGGGCATCATTCACGACAAAGACAACGAGAAGCCGTCAAACGAATCGAATCTGACCCTATTGGGCATTCTGGCTCTCACTGCAAGATTTCATCCCGACTTGATCGAACATGTCGCACACATTACACACCACAAGATCGCGGGCCCAAGGTTTTGCGGTGCTCTACCCAGGCTGCAGCCATCAGTAGCATCAGAATACTTCGCAAATGCTCTTACAAAGGCACTGGGAGAAGTCGAATCAGCCATAACATCGGCTACTGTCGTTCGAGTCCAAGCTTTTCTCATCCTTAGCTTGTATAAATGGAGTCGGCCGGATGGCGGCCTGGCTGCATGGATGTACGTTGACCTCGCCACGCGGATGGCTCAAATTATGGAACTCGGATCTGCACAAGTGCCCTCGCGTTGTTGGCAAGACCAGGAGTCGAGGCGCCGCACTATGTTCAGTTGCTTGATCCTCTGTCAGCTTGTATGTTGCGCATCTGGCCGAGTACCCGCTATTCAAGCTCACGACCTTCCAAAGCAGCTGCCGTGCAGCGACGAAGCCTTCAACTTGGGTGGCAGCATTCTCATTCGAACACCGCGGCCTGTGGGACAAGGAATCGAGGAAGTATTCGAAGATAGCGTTCTCGGCCGATTCGTCGACCTGATCAAAGTCTGGGGCGACATCTCCAAATACAGCCTTTTGGGCGGACGCGACACTGGAAAGGAAGAAGGGACGCCGCCATGGGACGAAAAGTCGACCTTCTACCAGCTCAGTCAGGAGATAGACACCTTCTACACAGGACTTCCGGAATGCTTCACATGGTCCACCTCGAACTTCTGGAGACACTCTAACAGCATATACGTGTCATTTAATATGCTGGCTGCTCTCTGCAGAATCGTGCTGCATCGCGAATATATCCCCTTTATCGCCATCAACTGCGCCAGGCCGATGGGCCCGATGGCGGAGCTCGGATTTGACCCCGGCGCTGCTCTCGATGGCCATTGGAAGCGAAGCGCAGAGCAGATCTTCAAGGCTGGTAGGGAAATCATCGACCTTATCACGTTGTGTCGGGACAGACTGCCCTATTCGTCGTTGGTCTTATTCGCCATCAGGCAAGCAGCCTTTGTCGAGATATACGCTGCGCACTATCCCCATATGGATACTCAGAATCACATGTTCAGTGAGCAGGAAATCGGAAGGCGGAATTCGAGACCGATGTCCGACAACTGGCAGCCGACCACCACTACTTACCAGGCATTGACAAAGGCTGCACCTTGCTTTAGCCTGGCGTCCAATTATGCCATATACCTGAGGAGCATAGATAAGTGTCTCACTCAAATCAAATCTGACTGTAGAGATGGAGGTTCTAGACAGAGTAGAGATGATCCTTTGATCATTCGACGAGATGGGCGTGGCGGCGATTGGGACGGGCGGAGGGATCCCGGGCCAATCCACCAGCAAGCCGGCTCCCCTGACTCCTCGACTCATGGCCTTCCACCAACGCTCGGCTCACCGCAAAACGAAATGGGAATGTCTAGAATGAACGCAAAGCAATTGAAGGCCGACATGTATGTACGATATCAACAGGGCCGGCAATTGGGCACCATGTTCGAAGACATTTTTGATTTTGCTACCGGAGGCAAAGGCTGCACGCCGAACCTGGGATCGCGGAACACATTCAATCCCCCATTCTGTTGGGGCAGTGATCCGTATCCAAGACTGTCATCCAATGAATCGCAGCCTTATGGGAGGGTGTGACGACGAATTCCGTTGCCTGGCAGGACAAAGAAGCAGAATTTACTCGGAAGAAGCTCGGCACGAACAACAAGCAGGACGACTACACAGGCGTCCCTCTCGAACTACCATCTATTGCCGAAGCGAAGCACCCTTCTGGACTTGTCGATACTAGTGATCAATTCTACGATATATTCGAGTCGAGCCCGTCCCGCTCAACTTGAAGGAGGCCAGGGGTGATGCACATGGATAGGATGCTACTCAGAGACAGCAAAGCAGCCCAGGGTGGCATAGAAGCTTCCAAGGATCTTACTTCTCACATACGCTCGGACTAGCATGTCCATAGGTCTGTCGGCATACTCATGCTACTCCAATGCCGTGCTTTTTGGCGATGAGGAAACAAGTTGGAATTCGATCTCGAAACCAAAGCCCGTATGGCCTTCGAGACGCCGCAACAGACTTGAAAGGTTCATCAACTCGTGTGGTCGCGTCGGCATAAGTAGGTCTCGAGAATTACCCATGAGAGGGTCTCGGCACCAGAAAGCGCGGCCTAGTATTTTTCAGCGCGCGTTCAAGGAGGACTATTGGGCACATACCAAGGGCATGCTTGAAACGCTGGCAAGAACTGTTGCCAATAGACACACTGTGTAGTAAATACAGAGCATGAGGCAGAAGTGGCTGAGCCTTGAGAACCGATATGGTCTCGATGAAAGTAGGTATGAGACCAGCGCGCCGCTAATGAGAGCAAACGGACGGATCAATCGCAAGTACGATGGATACCGAGCCGCCAGGTGCATCGCCAGCGACAGCACCCTGCTTCCGAGAACGATCCTGCAGGCGGTCCGACTAGCCAGCTCGATCTGAGAACACATCAGTAAGGTCAATTTCGAGTCCGGGTCTAGAGGGGGTTGCAGAAGAATGGACTTGAATTGAGCTCACATATTTGCCCATCGTAACAATGA